TACTGTTTCCAGCTGCAGTCAATCCTAGAAGACCATTTTTTGAAGGTCATAAATTTGCTCTACATTCTATTTCAATAACTTATACTTACAGTATTATATCTGAATTACAATCATTTGCATGTCCTCTTTTGTCTAAATGAATGTCAGATTCTAGATAGGAAAAGCAAAATTGCTTGCTGTGAAAAAAACAAATCTTTAGTATTTAATTGGATATATAATGATAATATCTGTAAAACTAATAGCAAATCCCAAATATGCTTTATTGAATGGTTCTTTAACACTCTCTCTTATCATCTTTCATTTCCTCTGATGTACTAGGCCTAAATTGCCACTTATAATATGAGATAAATATACAAAAACTTACATGTTGCCTTTTGCTTTATCTGGGAGCAAGTAGATTGTACAAATAAGCTTGATTGCCCTGTGATAGAAAATGTGACCATCTGTAACAATTCATATTGTGAACTTATTACATAGATAATTATTATGATTAGTGTTACAATTCAGCTATCAGAAATCTGTACAGGATCAAAAGAAACACAGCAGGATGATACCTCATCTAAATGGGCTCAGGAAAAATGCAATTTATTTGACATGCTCCACAAGAGAGGAAGAATCAATTCAACATACAGTGTAATCATTTTTCTCTCCCTCAGTAGCTTGTTGCAGGAGCAGCATCATGCATAGAAGGGAGCTTCCTATACAGAACCATGGTTATTGTATTTGCATAAGAATAGATCCACCCTTGGGTACATTCAAGATATTACTAGAGTTCCCTTTTTCCCAACAGGACAGAGTTCTCTAAAGACATACTGCTTACATTACATGGGACTCAGGAAACTAAACCTCCTCATCTCTCTAACTCTAAGTGGGTTCAAATGCAGCCATTAAGTTTAGATTGGACTATGTATTTTATGAGAGAAAAACCACTCCCCTCCTTAAAGCTCTTTGTAGCTGTCAATATGAAGTACTCTTTGAAAAATCAGGGAATCTTAATGTGAGAAACATAAACTTATTTAAATGTTTTCTAGCACCCAGTGGTTTTCTGAGTTTGAAAGATAAAACTTTTTACTACCGTGCTGATAAAATCTGTAATTATTCAATTTTTTAAAAGCTGTTGTATATCTCTAGTTTATCCACATCTGCTACATTAAGTAAGATATGACAGAAGGGGACTTCGTGGGAGGTGGAGGGGGAGAAGGCAAAGGAGTCCTACAGACATGCAGGTGGAAAGTAGTTCTCCTAAACATCTGGACCTGTTTACTAGGTAGTTGCTATTCCTGGATAGATCCATGTTATATTTACAAACTCCCATGGTGGAATACAAATAATGTAAAAGGTGGAATGCCTTTATTGCATAAAATATCAAAACTTGAAAATGATAATTTTCAGAATAATCAATTATGAAATCACTAAGATGGAGCATCATTTGTTTGTATTGAATAGAAAATTTTCAAAGTACGTAAGTGTCCAGTAAAAGTTTTTGAAGAGATACTGATTTCAAGATATAGTCTCAACTCTTAAACTGTATATTTCATAATGGCATACCATAAGATGGAAGGTGATAAATTCATTATATGACATTTTCATCAAGGTATCCCAGACATACTTATGGTCTATTTTATGCCTGTATTTCATGCAACATTTCATTAAAACTGTGTATATATTCTGGAGGGGCATGATTATATAACATCATAGTCTTTGGTTTTTTTTCCCTTTCTATATCACATGATTAATTTCTGAAGAGATTATACATGCACATGGCATGCTTATATTATAGGTATAAAATAATTCACAAATTAAAAAATAAAACTTCTCCACAGCCATTCACTTACTTTCTTCACTAGAGGCTATTTTGTTTTCAGGAGTATTCTAACTATGATTTCTTTGATTCTCATTTTTAGCAAAATTATAATATTTATTGTTGAGAGTTTGATAGTTCTATGAATCTTGCACCAAAACAAATCTTTTGTTCTACTCTTCCATACTTCAGATTGTAAACCCCAGGTACCCTACTCCATTTAACATTTTAGCTGTTCTGTTATTTACCTCCATTTTCTGAATCACATGGGTATCCTGTTCTTTCTTAATTATTCAGTCATAAGCACTATCTATGGACCTGCCAAAATGGAAAACACAAGATAATGACTGAGTTTTCTTATGCTGCCCTCTCTCTGCAAGAGCACATATTTATAGCCACATATATAAGCATATACCTATGTACACACACATACACACACAACATATCTTCAAAAAATTACATAAATCAGATTCTTAGTGTTTAATAGTTAACTCAATAGTCAATATTTGCATTATGTGACTATGTAAATAGTATTCATAGCATAGCCACACAGAATATGCCATGTAGTATATTGACATTTTATTTCATATTTTGCCCAATTCATTGTTGCCCTTGAGTTAATTTATTCATTTGGTCACCTTTCAGTGTGATGATCAGAAGTTCATCCTCAAACAACCTTTAAATGTCTCCTCAAAGGACCTAAACACGTTCCTATTCAGTTTTACTTTTTCTTGGAGGTCTTCCTCCTGAAGTCCCTTGTCCTCCAGCTCCAATCTGAATCATTTGCTCTCCCGACTTCCTGCTTGGCAGTCATCTTGGGACTTCCTTCTCTTGCTGATCAGCTTTCACTCCTCTTCTGGGGGAAAGCTCTTTCCAGTGTATCCGTTCTTCCACTTTTTTGTTTTTCTCATTCAATTGTGCAGAGCACAAACCCCAGTCATCTTCTTGAGGATGAATATGAGCATCAGGACTCTGAATATCTGAAAATCCCTTAGACAACCTTCATGCATGATTGATGGTCTGGCTGGATTCACACCATCTTGTCTCAGAAATTTGAAAACATCATTCTACATTCTTCAAGCTTCCAATGAGAAGGCTAAGGATGTTCTGTATCATGATCCTGTGGAGGGGCCTGTTTTCTTTTTTCTCCCTCTGTAAGAATTTAGACTCTTCCCTTCATATTCACTGTTGTGAAATTTTAGGGTGGCTGGTTTTGGTATAGGTGTTTTTTTGGTCATTGCTATGGGGACTTTTTTGATTCTTCTGGAAACTATTATTCAGTTATGGGATATTTGCATAATAGTTAAACATAAATGTTCACTTCCTTATTTTCTGTTATTTTTTTGGAATTCTTATTATTAGCTATTGATACTTCTGGATTGGCTTCCTAACTTTGATATATTTTTCTTATATATTCCCTTGTTTTTTGTCTTTAAAACTGGGCATTTTTATCAACTGTATCTTTATATATAGTTATACATACACAATTTATACACACAGAGTTAACTCTGTTCTTTAAATATTTTTTATTATAGGATTCTATTTTTTATACATATAATTATTAAAAATTTCCTGAATTTTCTGTTTATAAAATGCTCCCTATTTCCTCCAAATTCCCTTTTTCTCCTTTCTTTGTTAAGACTTTTTCATGTTAGAGGCTTTCTTCAAATGTCTGATAATTCTTTTTCATCTGTATATATGTGATTGTGAAATGCTAAAATTCTGAGTATGTAAGTTGAGATTTTCAACTACTCTTACTTGCAAATTCTGAAATTAAATGAAATGAACCTATTTTGACTACATGATGAATATCTTGCCTTCTAAAAGTTTTTGTGGCATGTAGGTAACTCAGTGATTTTTTCTGGCATGAAGAGAGGAGTACCTTTATGGAGAATACAGAAGCATGCATAACTAACAGCTACATGAGGTCGGATGAAACAAATAAAATTTTTATTTTGTTTGTTTTTCCTTATCAATTGAAAACTACTTAGGTGTTAATCTGGAGTGCAGGATTTCCTCTGGCTTCTGAATATTTTTTAAAAGAGCATCTCAGAAGCCTGTATTTTCATGTTAAGATTTACGCATACATACGATGACCCTTTTTTTATTAACATTTTTTTATGGATTTATAATCATTTCACAATGTTGTGTCAAATTGCAGTGTAGAGCACAATTTTTCAGTTACACGTGAACATATATATATATATATTCCTTGTAACATTTTTTCTCTGTGAGCTACCATTAGATCTTGTATATATTTCCCTGTGCTATACAGTATAATCTTGTTTAGCTATTCTACATTTTGAAATCCCAGTCTATCCCTTCCCACCCCCATCCCCTTGGCAACCACAAGTTTGTGTTCTATGTCTATGAGTCTGTTTCTGTTTTGTATTTATGTTTTGTTTGTTTGTTTATTTTTAGATTTCACATATGAGTGATCTCATATGACATTTTTCTTTCTCTTTCTGGCTTACTTCACTTAGAATGACATTCTCCAGGAGCATCCATGTTACTGCAAATGGCTTTATGTTGTTGGGTTTTATGGCTGAATAGTATTCCATTCTATGAATATACCACATCTTCTTTATTCAGTCATCTTTTGATGGACATTTAGGGTGTTTCCATGTCTTGGATATTGTAAAGAGTGCTGCTATGAACATTGGGGTGCAGGTGTCATTTTGAAGTAGGGTTCCTTCTGGATATATGCTCAGGAGAAGGATTCCTGGGTCATATGGTAAATCTATTCTGAGTCTTCTGAGGAATCTCCATACTGTTTTCCACAATGGCTGCACCAAATTGCATTCCTACCAGCAGTGTAGGAGGGTTCCCTTTTCTCCACAGCCTCTCCAGCATTTGTCATTTGTGGGTTTTTGAATGATGGCCATTCTGACTGGTGTGAGGTGATACCTCATTGTAGTTTTGATTAGCATTTCTCTGATAATTAGTGCTATTGAGTATTTTTTCATGTGTCTATTGATCATTTGTATTTCTTCCTTGGAGAATTGCTTGTTTAGGACTTCTGCCCATTTTTTTGGATTGGGTTGTTTGTTTTTTTCTTATTAAGTCATATAAGCTGCTTATATATTCTGGAGATCAAGCCTTTGTCGGTTTCATTTGCAAAAATCTTCTCCCATTCCGTAGGTTGTCTTTTTGTTTTACTTATGGTTTCCTTTGCTGTGCAGAAGCTTGTAAGTTTCATTAGGTCCATTTCTGGACAAGCTGGTGGAGGGAAGGCTCAATGATGCCACCTCGCAGATGAAGCACCAAGTGCAAGGTGGACTCATTCTGAATATTGTAGTCTGATGGAGTGTGGCCATCCTCCAGCTGTTTGCTCACAAAAATCAGATGCTGCTGGTCAGGTGGGATGCCCTCCTTGTCTTGGATTTTAACTTTGACATTCTCAATGATGTCACTGGGCTTAACCTCAAGGGTGATGGTCTTGCCTATCAGGGTCTTCACAAAGATCTGCATCTCTGCATCTGCTGCTCAGCCACCTCATTGAAGAGAAAGAGGTGATGACTCTTTACATATGAGTAATGGAAGAGTGTATGATTAAGGTGATATTTGTGGTTGACTTTTGAACATCCTTGCCACTCTAAATGACTTACCTTGATCAATTTGGCAATCCTATGCCCCTTGGCAGTGATTTACATACAAGCCTACCCTGGCAAATGAGTTGTGAGCAATAGTTTTACAATGAATTTCAGTTCTCCTTAGAGAACATGAAAAGAGATAGTCTTTTTCTTCACCTGGGTATTTTCATATCTTAATATTTCATCTGAATCAACTACAGTCTTGCAGCCATGAACATAAAATCAAACTGAACATGTGGAAAAGAAAGATGAAAACCTCCTGTCTTTGAGAGAAGCTTTGGACCAATGTGTCTAACAGTCCTGGACTAACTCTATAATGTTGTTATATTAGATAACAAATATTCTTATTCAGTCGGGTTGAGTCATGTATTCAGTTACAGGCATCTCAACTGAAACAATAAATTGCTTTATATATAATACACAGATTATAGTTCTTGTAGGGCGACCTACTGTATGAGCATACTTACTTTCAAAGTAAATGTAAAAAAATCTGTGAACACTTTGTAGTACAATAAAATTAGTTTAGCTAATTGAAAGGAAGAGAGATTTCAGGCTGTGGTAGTATTTCAGATTATACATAAATTTGCAAATGGACAACTGAATAAGCTTTCTTTCAGGAGGATTTGAAAGTGCAATCCTGTATGTAAAATCTGGGAGGGAGGATTTCTTGCTAGCAGGATTAGTATAAATGTACTACATTATACTAATGTTTTAAAAATAGAGCCATTTTCTTTGGCATTTGCTATGTCAAAAGTACTCTTTAGAATACCATTGAGACATGGATTATTTTTGTCAAATGTTTAGGTGATTGCATTGTTGTAATTTGAAGTTAATACAAAAATAATAGTTATTAAAATGTATTGTTTATTTTGAAAATAGTGCTTATGGATATTACATATTTAATCTGAGCAACAGCTCTGCAATGAAGCTAAGGAAATAATATTGTGAATGATATTATATAGATTTAAAAAACTAATGCAGAAGGAAATTAAGATACTTGTACTAACAGGTGGACCTCCCATGTCTCAAGCCAGCTTATCTGGTAATGATCTGTTCTAAAGCTTGATAAACTTCAATGATACGCTCAGCACTTTTACATGATTCTCACTAAAACATTCTTTATGCACAATAGTATGCCCTCTGTTTGCTTCCCCATCCCCTTTCAGGTTTAGATTAACTTTGAGAGGGAAACTGAAGGTGGAAGTAATCCAGTGAAAACCATTTAGAAGGGCACTAGCTTTGATTGCAGTAAATAAACTGTCTTAAAAAAATCTACATTATTGCTAGCAACAAAATCACAAATATATAGGAGACTAGAAAGGATGATTCTATATTCAAGAACAGGTCATTCTGAGGGATTAAACCATGATGAACTTTAATGCCAACCAATTTGGGGTTTTAATTAATATCTTCTTTTTCTGGAGGGCAGAACAGTTTTGTGAGGAAATGGCCTGGAGCATGCCTTTGTGTATCTCAGTATACAGTCTGTCAGTGCAGTAGTACTTCTGTTTGTTTGAACTACACAAAACTGTCAGTATCTGACCACTCAGGACCTACAAAATGGCAATTTCATCTGGTCCAACCTAGCACATTTGGACCTTTATTTTTGCTAAAAAACATCTGAGAAGATGAAAGAGAATAAATTAGATTATCAGCTTAATTTGTACTCACAACTCTTTAAAAAATAATTCTTGCATATATAAAGCTTTATTTAATTTGGCATATTTAGTTTACACACTTTTTGTTACTAAAAGATTCATAACATAGAATCATAACTTTAAGTAACAAACGCTTGCTCAAGCATTTTTGTCTGTGTAGATGACAAGGTCCCTATGAGAATGTCACATCAACAATTGTTTTTGAAATTTAAGGTATAATATTAGCATCAAAATTTAAGAACACAGATATTTACTTTATGCTACAATATCAGAAAATCCATAAATAGCATCATTTCTAATTCAATGGCTCATTGTGAAAAGAACCCAAGAAAATAACAAAAATTAATTCAGGAAAAATATTCAAATTAAAATCCAGGTATTAAAATTTTCTTTGATTTTGAAGGCAGAGATCTTGTACTAGTCATCAGCATGTTTCTAGCCTTCTCCTAGCACATGTACTTTGTGTTTAATATGCACTTCATGGAGTTCTTGTATTATGTTTTGTATAAAAATGTGATTATGCTTAGTGATTCATGATAAATGGAACTCAGGGAGGGAAAAAGCCTAGATAATAGACAAATATTTAACAGTACATTTGACATTTTATAAATCATAAACTTATACCTTTTTACTTACTATAGAAATGAGATCCTTTTTGATAATGCTTATTTTTTCCTAGGACTTTGATTTACATTATTTCATTTAGTTTTATTTTAAGATTTTACTCGCACTTAATTCAGAACTATACTAAAATCAGTTTTAAGAAAGCATTCCAAAATTCTGCATAGAAAAAGTAACTATTAAAAAATTTTCCTTTACTGTTCTTAAATTTAAGCAATAAATTTGAAAATTATATATATTAGATATAATATATACTTCTTATTTATACATGCAACATTAAAGATGCTTCAAATTTTAAATAGTTTAAATAATAACTTTATTAAGATTAGTTCACCTGCCTTAAAATTCATCCTTTTAATGTTTACAAATCAGTGGTTTTTAGTGTATTCACAGAGTTGTGTGGCCATTACTACTGTCTAATTTCAGAACATTTTCATCATCTCCAAGAAATTCTGCACCCATTAGCAGTTTAATATTATAATTATTTTTAAAGAATAAAACAAACTACACATACGTTTTCCTGAACACAATACTAACACAAAAACTAAGACAGTTTTCATTTCCTAATAGAAAGTGATTATCAGTGAAAGTGGCAGTTTTCCATTAGGTGTGCTTCTACAGAAACTGTTCTTAGCAGCTTTGACTTCATGCTTGGGAGAAGACTTCCAAGGGATATTATTATAATATTTTCTGCAAATTTTAAACAATTTGGACTTGTAATTTCTGTTTCCTTAAATGTCTTGCTCCCATGTGTACAAAGAATATGATAACTGAATGCATCAATGACATTCAGCCTTCCTCTACCCAGGGCCTTTGCCATATAACTTTGTAGTGCCCTCTGTCTCAGCTCTTGAATGCCTTATAGTTTGCTTTGGCCAACATGAATTTTAGCTGATACAGTACAAGCAGAGGCATGAAGTGAGCTTGAACTTTTGGGATATTTTCTCTTGCCATCTGCCATTGCCACAATATTTTTTTTAAGTAAGCCAAGGCTAACCTGTTGTTCCTAGGAGAAGATGAGACATGTGAATCAGAGGGAGCCAGCTCAGCTGAGAGCCAGCTGTCCAGCCACAGTCAGCCTAGATTGGTCAACAGTCAACTGATGCCACCTGTGAAAAAGCTCAGCCAAAATCAGCAGTCTCCTAACCTGACCAGTTCAGAGATGTGAGCAATGGACATTTATTGCTGTATATGCCTCTGAGCTTCAGTAGTTGTTTGTTACCAAGTATTACAGCAATAGTAAGCAACTGATGAGAAATGCAAAGAATATGACATTACTTTAGTAAGTTAGTAATTTCTCAAGCTATGGACATGTGTATATGGATAAAATTTTCTTTAATCACCATAACCAAATCCTTTCTTGACATATCTGCAACAGTAGTAAACTCTGCCCCTGGCCCAGGTGGAGGAGTTGGTTAGAGGAGGAATTCCCTTAGTTGTTGGTTTAAGAGGACACAATATTCCCCCTCAATCACAAAACAGGATCAAGGGAGAGTATTGTCTTTTGGAGCTGAAAACATTTTATACTGGAAGTAATCAACACAGAATCAGGGAAGAATTGAAATAAATGAATACTGACATGGTTATTATTTAAAAAGATATCCAACCAAACATGCAGATTGCTTCAAATAGTTTGACTGCACTGACTGACTACACTTCTGGGGGCTCCAATTCCAGCCACATGGGATGAAAGAGTGTTCCTGGTGCCAGCCCACATTGTCAGGGTTTGGGTTCAGAGGAATCAGAACATGGACATACCTCAGGCAACAGAAAAACTAAAGGGCCATTTAACAGTAAGTTCCTAAGAGCATGGAGCCTCAAGCTGAGGACACAAGATCAGTCAAGGAGGCAAAAAAACCTGCAAGAATGAAAGTAGGAGTCCAAAACCAGAGTCATGGGCTGAGGAGACCTGGAACCAAAGAACAGCAGTGTCTGGAGTAACAAGATATCATGAGCTATTTGCACAAAAAGGACTGAAAATTGCATGGCTTTCATTCACACAATTCTGAGTACTTAATATATGCTGGTTTAAAGCTGCAGTCACTGCTGTTTCATCAAGTGACATTCCAGTCTCAGTAATTTTCACCTGTGCATATAAATATGACCATTTGGAAGGCCATAATTCCCACTTCTAGATTGGTCTGATACATGTTTTAAAATCATCCTGGCCTGAAGAAATGAAAAATAAAGGTAAGAAATATTACTCTTAATATGGGCATGTTTCTGGAAACTATTTGCCACAGGAATCAGAAGAATATTAGACTGACCTACCAATTTATGTTAAAAGACCATGGAATTTCTAGCACTTATGGTCATAACATCTTAAAAATAGGCTGGAGTGGAAAGAGTGCTGGTTGAGAGAGGAGGCAGAATACAGGAGACCAGGAACAGCTGAAGTAAGATGACAGCAGGTAGCAAGAGATGGACCATCTGAAAGGGATGGACGGAAACTTGAAAGT